TTATTTTAGATTAATAGGCAATGACTTCAGCTACTTAAAAAAATAATACTCTACCATTCACCTCAAGAAGTAAAATAACCTGTACTTTCTTTTACTGACTGGGGAAAGTATGAACTGTGATGTTAAACAAGTTCCACACCTTCTGATAAGTAACGTGAGATTTCCATTTTAATATCAGTAGTTTATACTCAAAAAGTACACTTTGAATTCTCATTTTGTGGATACAGTTGAATATTTGTTTCGTGTATATTGCTTCGAAAATCTTTTGAGTACTTCACATGAAATTCTTTTTCAAGAATATTCATCTAATAATTGTATAAATAGTCAGTCTTTCTTTTACATTTCTAATGATCTCGTTTACTTTAAATATGTACATTATTTTTTATCTTAGGGAAAGACCAAAAAGATGGTTGCAGTAAAGATGAAATTTTATTTCCGATGAAGACACTTATCAAGCTGTACATTCATGAATTATTTTACAAAGGATAGAAAATTACAGAAATATCTTCGCTTTGAAGTCAACATATAGTAAATAAAGAAAGGAAGTTATGCAATGCGAAAGTAGGTCTAGAGTGGAAAAGTAAGCTGAAACGGGTTTTCAGCTCAATAAATCCATTAATGTACAGTTTAGCAAATGACAGACGGAAAGATAAGTTCATCTCCACCACAGTCGTCTGTTTTGTCTTCTATGTTCGGATGAGTGTATTCCACTGTGCATTAACCATATCACCAGTTGAGTCAGTCACTAACTTATTGTCAACTTGAATAAGGTATATTCAGTTTTTACAGTTGATAAAGTTGATATTTCTAGGTTGTAAGCAGTTGTGAAAATTCTTCAAGCATTAATATATGAGCTCATTATATCCTCCTTCACTTATTGGTTTTTGAGCTGTTCATCTCCTGGATATGTGCCCAAAATCTTCGCAAAAACAGTTTCTCCTTCTTTCAATTGACTTTTAAATTGATGAATTACGAAAAATATTACTTTCAACTAACGGATTTTCTCAAAAAACTGAAATTTTTCGCTTCATTTTACATCTATAGTTAGATCGGTTTTTATGTCATTTAGTCAGGCTGTTCAGCTTTGACAAATGAATTGATTGCTTAAGGTTCTTGTGAGTGGCTTGATTGGCTTTCAGCGTGTCTAAGAAATAATGAAAACTTTGAGGGCAGAGTCCTTACAAAGAAATAAGTTTTAAGCAAGATCAAGCAAAATGCAATTTTGTGACATGCGTACAAAGATCCTATGTGCCAACGCAGACTGATCAATTAGGATCTTTAAATCAATAACGCAGAACATTATCGTAACTCGTTTATACACTAAGTTGACATAGATTCTGTCATGAATTAACTTTTAACGGGTTGCTGATTTCCTTTTGATGGTTTCAGTTGTTAGAAGAAATCTTTCTAAACATATGAGAGAACCCAGAGAAAAAACAGTATTCCTACTACACAATTTGCACAAAACACTGTTTTACGAACCTGGGACACTTTGGCGCAGTATGAAGTAGCAAATAAAAATTAGAAGTGGAAGCTTCGATTTATATATTATAATGTGGATGCCTAGTGTTATCTATAAAGTAATTAACCATGTGAAATCACTCGAAGTGAAAATTTGTACACACATTTCATGAGCAGTGATTGACTGGAGAATGATTAGTATGATAAATGATAAGTCACCGCAGGTGGCTTATGATGATCCCGCTAGTACACAAAGATATACTGGCATCAAGGTACTTTTTCTCTAGGTTCAAATTCCTGCGAACTGAGGATTATGTGTCACTTCGGAGTCTGACTGGATGGAGCTATCTTCTGCTTCTTGGTAATATGACTGGATGACCGGAAGATCTTCCAAGTTAATCACACGAGGCGAAACTCAAAGTTCATACTCCCTCTGACTTCTGACATCAACAATTAGAGTCTTATAGTTTGTTCATGGCTTTTATGATCTGTGAATGGGTTTAACTTTATTTTAGATTGATTTTCGAAAAATTCGAAGATATTGGAAGACATTTCTCAGTGACTCTTAGGCTCATCTAGTACTAGGATTTAAATATTGTCCGGCTTTGCTTTGTCAGAAGCCAATCTATTCTCATTTCAGCGTAAACCATGAAAAAAGAAAAAAATTACTCCTACATTTGAGCACATAACTCACAGAGTTATTACCAGTTACCATGATGACAGTTGCGAAAATAACCAACAGTTTAATGACTAGGCTCTTCTCAACGATTTCGTTCTTAAGCCTAAAAAATCACAGTTATATCTAATTTTAAAAAATCTTAATGTTGAATGTCTTAAAAATTTGCAAAGATTCTTTTTATTGTAGGACATGTCAAAAGCAGGATAATTTTTCATGAGTCGAATTTATTATAATACGATAAGTGCAGTGAATATTAATCACAGTTTGGAGGAAATGATATCAGAGATTATCACGTTTAAATAATGAGTAGTAAAACGTGATGAAATGCTAAAAGAATGAGTTTCTATCTAAAGGGCATAGAAACAAGTAAGAGTTGATATCAAGTAAAAATTATATGGATTGGAAAAAGAAGAGATATTCTGTAAAGTTGCAGACCATAAAAAAGAGAGAAGGTTGGAGAAGTTGGTTTTGTAGATAAAGCTCAGTATTCTGTCTTCGTCTGTCCAAAGCGTAAACAATATATCACAGTCTTTCAGAACTTGATTTTCACTCTGTTGATTACTGTGAAACAGAGGTCTGTTAAGATACCAAGGTCAGTGCTGGTGGAATAAATAACTACTGCAATCCTCATTGAGGTCATCCAGAATGACGTTACTGAACCCTGTCGGACAGAAACCACTTTGAGGTACTGGTAAACCAAGTTTCACAGGATCTCGTTTATTGGTATGTAAATATAGAGGTGGTGAGAGGCGTAACCTCATGCTTCAGACTAGAACGAAACAGCGCCCAAACGGTCACGACTATTCCCAAGGTTTTTAGAGGGGTGTTCTTTATGGAGAATTTGAAAAAGTTTCCTTTTATAATTTCAGCAGCTGCTTCATCCTTGAATTTATAGCTCATGTAAAGCATCAGTATTCATACAGAAGTAGGTCAACATCCCTCAGATTCCAGCTTGATGTTGTTAATAATAATAATAATTCACTTTATTCCAAATAATTTGTGTACAATTTGGAATTCTCAGCGTTATCTAAGAAAGGATGTGAATAGTCAGTTTCAGTCAGTGATTTTATCGGAGGCGGTATTTCTTCAACTGGATTCCAACTTGTTGTCTTAATGGTAACGTATTCGTTATGAAACGAGACGTTCCTGGGTTCGATCCTTGGCCAGGTCATGGGTGCATACTGCGAAGCAATGTTATACTGTGACGGAACAGGTGTCCATTTGTCCCGGTTTTTCTATGTTTCTCCAGTTGATATCAGCCCATGACGAACACCAGTTTGAAAAACAAATATTCAAATGAATTTCCTCCGCAAACAATGGACCTACGGACTTAGAAACAACAATTATAATTTATCGTTCTATTCGTTCGTGTGTAGTACTGGATAGGTGGGTAGTTGCTCTTATCTCACTAACATTTGAAGCTCAAATTGAAGTACTCCATTGTGACAACAGAAGGGGCAGATATTGGCATTAGTAGCCAGTTAAAATGCCATGGGAATGTGACAACAAGTGCTTGAGCTTTCGTAACTTCTACTACTTTAGTATCCCAGATCTAAATTCAGTACGTTGTTCTGTCTCTTAGCCAAGAGTTTTTACTGAAGTCCCTAACTGAGACATTTCCATCTAGACACAGAATGAAGCAGTATGTTTACTTTACATTTAGTATCTAGTTGACTGAGAGCTTTCAAAAATCTGTACGGTGAATTTAGAAATCAGTCAACTTTAAGGTGTCCACCACTGACTTCATTCGGACAGTCAAGTGAATTTTTCACATCTGCTTGGGAAGGAAACAGATATTTCCAATGATGGTTCTGTAGAGGTGCTTCTTACAGGCCTTCACTGACTAACAACCGTCGAGAGGCATCGCAGTGATGAGCTTTCTAGCCAGATGGCCCTATTGCAAAATGATCGTTAGAACTCAGGACTATTCAAAATAAATTAATTGCTGTTCAGATCCCATCAATTTATCTAACCCAGTTTTACTGGGGGTCAGTTGCGACTGAATACTTCAGTAGTAATCCCGCTGATTGCAACACTGGAAGATGCTATTTTAAATTTTAGAGAGGACATCAGTTCCTTCAATGTTTCAGACGCGCCTTGTTGCTGATTGCAGAAAAGAATAAAACCTAAGTCAAGCAAACTGCCTCCAACCAACGAACATGCATCAAAGATGCATTTGTGAACTACCATAAAACCCTCTTTTTATTTCTAATCAAAGGCAATATCAAGCGTCTTTTATGACATATTGAGTTATTAATAATGAGACCTACATTTTGGATCAACTCTTAAGCATCTGAAAACTGTTTTTTAGTAGTCACGAAAACCGTCATATTATTCTAAATTTCAACTTAATTTTATTCAAAAAGCCAAAATGTTTGTTTGCTGTAGAGAAAAAGCATTTCACAAACAAATGATCAAATAAAATTATGCCAAATCTGACTTTCTTTTGGTCTACTGATAAAAATAAGGAACAATCTTCAATATTTGCCTCAAATTATGATAATAGTAGCAACAGAATTACACTTAGTATATGAACATAGACAGATGTATGTGTAGACATAGACATTCACTTTCAAACACTTTGTTTCAATGAATAAAAAGCGTACATTTGAATGCGAAAACAGTTGACAAACAAAATGTAAATAACAATTTACCAATAAGAAATATAATACTTATACTGTGTAATATGGCAAGTGAGTAACAAAAACAGCACTCTCTTAAAACGAGAAAAACCACTTTTCTCCGAATGTAATTTAAATTAAATTTAATGAAGATACTTCAAATTAAAATTGGCAAAAGTAATTTTAATTTACTTAAATAAGATGAATGGAAAAGAGAAAGGCGTACATTATAAAGATGATTAATTTGTGTAACCGAATTCCAAATTTGTTTGTTTTAACGATAAACGTGGGCTGCTTGTACTATTCGGTCGCATCGTTACAGAATATTCGTTTGATGAAGCATTAGAATTGCCTCCAGGTAATACAAGTCGTGATGAAGATGACGATGATGGTGGAGAGGGTAACTGTCTTCTGTGTCTTGGTTTTGAAGATCCAACATCTTCCAAACAAGAACTGTGACGTCGCCAGTAGGAACCAGACGATAATGAGTCGTCACTCAGCTCTGAACTATGCTTATTTTCATTGTTTGAATTTGAATCCAAACTTCCATTAATAATCACTGGAGGAGTTAAATAATTTTTTATTGTTGGTGAATTCGTTTGTGAATTATCACAATAAGTTGGACTGTGTGTGAAGCCGGTCTTTGTGTTGGTAGCTGCCTCATTCTAGATGGATCTCTAAAACTGGAGCGGTTTGAAGGCAAAGAGTCAGATGGACATCTTGACTGATACGTTTGCTTTGTACTAAGTGGATTTGATTCAGATAATTTTTCCGTATAGTTGTCATTATCTCGGTTGATATTGAAAACTGAACCGCTTTTTGTCTAGTTAGACGATCGATTTCTAGAACTTTGATATTTATATCTTTTCTAGCAGATAAAAACAGTGAAATTCAAAGATAAGAGCAGTAAATTATTCCAATACGATGAAACCACAAGTAGAGGATACTATACACTATTGCATATGTGGCCAAGTCTACTATCTTTTTGAGTGATTCCATAGAACTCATCATGGATTGACTAGAAAATCAAATTATGGTCAAAGACAAGCAAACAACTATTTCTTTCTTATTTTACATCTTTAGCAGTGTGCACTCCATACTTTGTGCCTGATCAAACCAAGGACAATAATATTCTGAGTTAACCATATGACCCAGTTGCTCATAAGTTCAAAGAGATTGTCTTAAATAGAGGGTTCTCTAAATTGTATAGAATAATTCCCGATAATGACATATGCTAACTGTAAAAGTGGTTTAATACTGTGTGTTCCTTGAATTTGAAGGTTTTACGAGCATTCAAGATACAGCTTTCGATAAGTGAACTGAAATATTTATGAATGAGTTTCAAGTTTGATGGAGGTCCTATTCACTGCCATCTGCCAACTAAGTCTGTTTTAATTATTTAGTACATAATTACCTTGTTCGTCAACTTGTTAGTTTCATTTGTATGCCAAATGATAGTCACAACAATAACTCGAATAAATATGCGAATTCAATGAATTATGGGAATCTTATTGGTTACAGTTGTCATATGATTCTAGGAGTATCATCTCTTGTTAGTTTACTTGTAATGACATGGTAAGTTGCTCCAGTTATCGGAACAACCCTATTTATTATTTTTAAATTACATGAAAACTGTATACCACAATTATTATTGTTGTTGCTCTTTTGTCAGTTCCATTTACTGCCTACTGGAAAATCTAGTCGGAACGCCTAGATTTATTTCTCTAACAATTTAAACTTATTATTTAGTGTCATAGAATGTTATTTCTGATTTCCGTTATAAAATTCGTCGCTTATAGCTTTTCAATGAACGTGAAGGGATTAACATGAATTTGTCGGAATTATTATCACCAAGTGAAAGAAGATTGCCTTTACTTTCATGTACAGTAAAAAGTATTCCTCCAGTAGTCTTTTACTGTCATACTTTGACAGGAATTTCCCGCTTAATGTTTTACCAAGTGATTTATGCACTAGAATTTCCTGTAGCGTTCTTTTTGTGTTTTACTATTAAATGTATTCTGTATATTCATCATTTAGTTAGCTTTCCGTGAAAAAAGTTTGACTTCCACGTTTATAATACAGTTGCTTCTGGTACACACTTTTGATCATCGGCAGGAAAATAACACGAACCGTTTCTTACGACTAATCTTAGCATACTCTTTGAAGTAACTGAGTGGGAGTGACTGACACCATAATACAAAATACGATAGTAACGCAATAAGATACTTGAAATGGAAACGAATAGCGACTTTCTCCCTCAGATCTGATGCTTCACTGAGCTACAAAAACCAGAATACAAAAACCGGGCTGCGACTGTAAGGAAGACAACTTATTTGAAAAAGTACATCATTTATATACAGTTTTCCCTCGGAAAATAAGAACTACAGGTCAGAGACTAGATACTTATTTTCATTGGTCAGGTGAGGGACAAAATTGTTCAGTAAGGTTTTTCCACCCACACAATATTGTGAAACCAAGGTTGGAATCCAAAACGTTTATCTTGGTGGCTGATGACTGAGAATGCCGATTTCCATTTAGGCCGCTTCCTTTACTTTAAGATGAGGCAGATGAATAAACCCTAACATCTAACAACAAGTACAGTATCATGTCTACATACGTCAACCGCATGCTAGGATCTGGTACTGAGGATACTATGTATGCTAGCATGCATATATATATATATATATATATATATATATATATATATATATATATATATATATATATATATATATATATATATATATATATATATATATATATATATATATATATATATGCAATATAATCGAATTAGCCTATACACTTCAACTTCAGTTTCTAATACTTCAGTCTACTTATTTTCGTATAAGTCAATACTCACATTGGATTCTATTTTGTCTAACAATCAAGCTTCTTAGGCAAAGTTCATAGTTTTGAGTACTCAATAAATATTTTTTTCAAAGATGAACCAAATACTCTTCTGACAACCTATAACTAATCGGGTTTACGGTGTACTGACTTAATCTTTACTTTTCATAAGATTTTAGATCACAGGCATACTTACCGGCTTGCAACTCTAACACAGAAATCACCAAGAATATATGCTCTCTCTGTTTTCATAGAAATGTTACAGATCTGCTTATGAAGGTGGATTTATCCTAATCTGACTTCATGTTGGTTGATTTCTTTGCAGGGGTCAACCCAGAATACTCACATAATTTATTAAGTACTCCAGTAAGATACTGACAAGATGCAGATCCTTCTGTACGCCTTGAGTGAGAACTTTAGAATGTCTTTGAGTCGTTTCTTATCTTTCAAATGCAGATTATTGCTGGAAGATTGGTTTGAGTTATTGCATCCACTTACTACTTGACCACTTCTCTTACATAGTAATTCAAATCAAACATGATAGGTCAGTGAACGACTTAGTTTTGGCATGGATTTAGGAAAGCATATTGGTTCTCAATAATGTTGGTGATATTTCCAAGTGACAATTAAGGATAGAGTGTATTTTGGATAACTTCACCCTATCTCAAGATCTAGTTGTAAAAACTGGCTAGGGAATTTGAAAGGAACGATAAAGTTTCAGCTGTTCAACCACCACTGCTGTGGAAGGATTAGACGTATGTAATGGAACCACTAAGTTAGTAATGTATAGGTTGATAGTAGGAGCAAGAGTTTTAAGTTACCGGAATTACTAGAGAAACTACAAAGAATAGGCCCTCTGAATTCGGATTTCTTGCATTCTTGTGCGCATTATTCTATCATGAATTGGTGCAAAATATGAAACATAATTTGTCTACTGTATACTGAAACAGAATAATTAGTGGAAAATTTTCAATAATAGACATGCCGCCTAACTGGATATTGAATAATTCGGCACAATCATAATCAAGTCATGAACCAGTGTTTTTTCGATGAATACTAGCAGAGTACATATGCAATTTTGAGCCATTTTACGTTTCTTCGAAAACGTATCACAAGAGTTACTTAAACATGAATTTGAAGAATTAGGACTGCCTTATGTAGAACACTCCATCGGCAGATTGTAACCAGTGGGTTAGCCAAGTGGAAAGTGCTGACGGAAGTCCATCCGAACACTTCACTTCAGAGTAATGTCAGCTTCTCATGACTATATCATACATTGATCAGAAACATGTCCAATAACACTACGGTCTACAGGAAAAGGTCAAGCCAGTGGTGTAAAAATTTCTTTTCTAGAAGAAGATACTTATGATACCGGTTTCGAATGCTTTAATTCATTGTGCACATGATATATATATATATATATATATATATATATATATATATATATGGTTTCTGTGTTAAGGCAATGAAGGTGATCGGTAGCCTACTAGAGTAGAATAATCAGTCCCAACACAATCGTGTGAACATTTAGCTTATTCACCAACTTTTATTTGACTACCGAGCTACGTCATACATAGGAAGGCTCGTTGAATTACCTTAACTACTGTGTTAACCATTTCTCCCACTTACCCACCTGTTCAACAGAAAACATATGAAATGCTGATTGAGTGCAGTTAGCTTTCAATACATATCCGGTCTCATTGTCATCGGGGAAATGATTTTTATAGTACGTGAGAGTGTAACGCTGTGTGAAGTAGTCAAGCAAAATTAATTAAAGAAGGTAGTTTTTACAGAGTTCTCATACTTTGAAGTGCATGGAACCTCAGTATTATTCTCTCTTTTTGAATTTAAGCTCTACTTTTCTACTGACAATAGCCTAGAACGTTTCCACAAAAGAAAGATTTTCAATAAGAAGTAAAAGGGTACGACTATCCAGCCATTAGAAAAGCGTAATTGAGGTAAAAACCGCACTTTGGAACAGCTCATTATGATTCAGCTAACATTCGTTGGTAGACAAAGTGTGACGAAAATAGATATCTGATATTTTCGGTCGTAGGTTTGGGTAGATTAACCAAGAATGATGAATGTTACGCTATAGCATTAATAATGTGTAGGCCTTCAGATAAACTGCTTGATGAAGGATAACAATGGATTGCAGCAATTATTTAAACGATAACCAGACAAAAGAAATACTGTTCCTCCCAGTTATCAAATTGGAAGCGGGATTAATGGACTATGATCAAGGCTTTAGTACTCAACGACTGAAGGCTAATTCCACCATCAGTTTGAATCATGGTTTGAATAAACCAAAGACATAAAAGTAAGTTGAACTCTGAGAAAAATAGGTTCAAATCCATGAGGTAACTATGGATTTCTCAACGTTTAAGATGTCTTTTATTGCGAGGTGTCTAACACCCTGGAAACTAGGTCGAGAAAGATTTCTTATGGGTTAAATCTGTAAACATTTTCCTACAACCTTTCGATAAATGAATAGTTATTCGTTCAAAAACTTACATCAGATTATAACGCTGCATTGCTACTAGCTCATCGTAATTTTGATAGTCACCTCGACAAAGTACGTGTGAATATAACCATTCAATACGTAGAGTAATTGCATTGTCATTAGGACGAGAGTAGCCAAAGTTTGAACTACAAACCTAAAGTAGAAGTGATGAACAAAATGACAGTTCAACAGGAGATCAAAGAATTACAAGCACTGCAAAACGCTTTCAATTGAAATCACATAGTCACTAGAACGGTTTAGGTAGCACCACTCACTATAGACTGTAAAGCAAATAAGTACACTACCTGAAGAGAAGATCCAGGACTTTGATGATTGACAGCTGCATAATACATTATTCGCATTACTGGACACTTATTGTTTTCAAATCGTTTTATGTAACAAAGTAGGCTATTATTAATAATGGATAATGACTTGCAGCATAACCCAGAACGCTTATTTCGTTCTGTTTGAGACTTGTCGGCTGGATATACCAGACATCCAGTGGCAACAGTAGCCGGTGAATTCGGTTCATTCAGTGACAGGAAATTACAGGCTATAATATCTAAAGTGGGGTATTTTTGTTACATAACAGTGGATCACTGTGAAAAATCCTCATCTTGGCTAGCCAGAAGCCTTGTGAGTTGTTTATGGCTGTTATGAAAAATGAAAAACAAAGCACAGTACATATCGCTCACATTCTTATGTCTGTTGACCAGTGAGAACATTGGAAAAAAAATCAAAAATGTAATTTGTAGATAAGAGGGTAAGCTACTCAATATTTGCATTGATACTCCATTTCCGATTATTGACATGAAAACGATCAGATCATGATGGTGAGAAGGGAAAGCAGTGGAGAAACAGTGAATCTGACATCATTCCTTACGGAAATATAAAAATAAAATTGTCTCTCAACACCTGTATTGCATTTACAGTTACTGACTAGAAGCATAACAAAATGATTGGTAAGCACACACTTTTTTAAAAGAAAACGTTACATTTTTTACTTCCTGAAGATAGTGTAATAAACACTTTGAAAGATTTATGTGTTCAAAGTTCACTTGTTTCCGGAGTATAGAAAAAATTAATTTCGCTAATAAGTTGCAAGAATGTCAACTTAAATTTGTTTACTGTAAGTAGTGAAATCGACGAAATAAGTTTAAGAAAAAACGTACATTTCTAAGTAAAAGTTTCATATCTGTCTGATGTGATTAAACTTTTTTTTTCATGGATGAAAGCAACAAATTTCTAGCCAGCTTCATAGTTGCTTTTCATGTTTATTCAAGCTTTTGAGAACTTAATTATTGGCTTAAAAAGCAGCCATCTATCCTTGCCCAATGCACAAATCGTATGGATTTAAGACCGCATACTATTTTCTTCCTTTTTTCATGAGGTTGTGGTCAAGCAAGTAGGAGGCATTAACATGTAAACAGGATGAATCAACAACTGTAGTTTATCAAGCAGTAAAGATGAAGAATATTTATTAAACTGAGAAAGTGGCCATCAATATAAAAAGGTATATGAATTAGCACATGGCTTACAAATTTAACGCAGCCACTGAATGGAAATTGAAAACGCTTATTTCAACTTTACACCTGAAACTTTAATTTATTGGAAAGTGAGGATAGTGAACGAAGAAGTTCGCTTTTAGGCACACATAATTTTGGTGGTTATTTCTGCATCGTCTGTGCTTCAGTAAAACAAAGTACACACTTCTTCACGTAATTTGTCGACTAAATTGGATGACTATTGTAAAACAGCTTGTCCGTTGGCAGCCGAATGGTGCTTAGGGAATCTGTGGGTCCATATGCAGTCACGACTGTCAAGTCGTACTACTGGGTTTTGGCATTAGCCAATTTAGTGACTGAAGAGAAGAATGATCTGAGCTTAGCTTTGAGAGGTCAAAGTAGGTGTGAATAATAAACTTGCTCTTTCTCACTAGTCTTCAGAGTTTTATTACTCTATACGGGATACTTTTTCCATGTTTTCTAAATATCATCTTTATGATGACTTATTTTACCTAACGTCACATAATGTTGAGTTTAGGACTGAATATTGCTTTTAGTGTAAACATGATAGCAAAGTTTCTTTAGTTTTGGGGAAACTTTTATGGAGCAAATCGGCTTTTATTTTAATATCAAGTTTTATCTCCATTTTCTTTTATGCGTCGAAGTTTATCTGCATTCTGCAACCAAACAGCAAGATGTCACTATTTGCCGAAATGATGTTAGCACACAAAAGAAGTGAATTTTCCTAGTAAAAGTGGACAGATATACAAAGTAGTTTACTCCACAATGTTAGGAGTCGAAAATTTTGCGTAGGCTGAAGTAAAAGTATTTAATCGTTTGGAAAAACGTTTACATTCTGTAAAAGATATGCAGGCAGAATTACACAGTTGCAACTAAAAGGAACACTTCTGTGGTCAGGAAATGAAAGCTCTTGTCTTCTTGTTATGTTCGGATAAAGTAAAAATATTTACGTCATATGTTTACTTCAAAACGCACACTTGGGTAGAATTTGTGCCCATATCCATTAGGAAGTCACTGAACTACTTTAAAATTTTATGTAACTTTGACGTCAGAAACAGATTCTCATGGCCACATATTCAGAGGCGGTTTCACACTGTAAACAGGAGTCATTTCGACACGTAAATTCAAGTCTTTCTCTATAAAAAACTCAGATTTACAGGATGTTTTGAGGTGTAAGAAACTCAATTAGAGCCCAATATTTGATTTTAAATAAACTTAAAGGAATTCACTGAAGGGAAATTACTTTTTGAAGCACCTTTTTAGCATTTTTATCTATAAGTCATAAGGATAATGCTTAATCAAGTGTGTATAAGGAAAGTGTGTAGTAGATTGGCGTGATGACTGATCGGTTAAAAATAAACAGATCAAATATGATAATAATGATAATACCCGATTTTGTTTTCCTCTTGGTGACTAGCAGTGAAATCCGGGACGCTTGTTTCGTCCTATTTAGGCCTCAGTGATCTTGTCCTAGCTGTTACTCGAAGCCAGTACCTATAGATTCAAACGCCAAATTGTAATTCACTAGGACACCGATGGGGCGATCCGGCTCCGCATAGCAAGTATCAAGTATCAAAACAACAAATGGTACCTGCTGCATAGGTGGTGGCTGTCGTGCCCCAGTGGCCTTGTGGACAACGCTGTAACACTTGAAGCAATAGGTACAAAGTTTTAGTCTCAATGAGAACAACATCACCCTCTGGGATGCAGGCACGTCCAGCTGATGAATCTCAAATAGGACGAAATGTGCGTCATGCATTCCACTGTTAGGTATCAAGATGAATATAATATGATGAATACCTGACATTATCGAGGTTTCCGCATTGTAGTCCATCTGCCAACAAAAATCGAGCGATTCGACCCTGTATAATAACGAGAAATTACAAGTATCAAACAGCAATAACAATTCTTGTTTATTTCATGGCCTATTAGTTATCACGTTAATCTACTGCATATTGTCCCTATACACACCCGATTACGCGATCGCTTTATAACTCTACAATCAGTCTACTATGTCACCTTAGAACATTCCATTTTGATGACTTAATGCTGGCCTACTAGCTAATAATATACTGATCTGTTTGTTGTTATTTTGTAGATAGGATTGTACGGCTGCTGAAAATTTTTCATCAAAAAAAAAAAATCCTTTATGTTTTTGAATGTCTCAATGGGAATTTTTTTCTGACTATTAATATTTCACTACGCATTTTTAGGGTTGCAGAATAATATTGACTTCAAGTGGTTAATTTTCATACGTTTGCGCTAATGTATTAACATATCCAGTTTCAAGTGCTGTATGTAATGATAAACTCAGAAGAAATAGTTTAGCAAAACTACTGCGAAGAAAATACGCGTTTATTTACGTAAATTTTTTTAAGCAAACCCGCAACATTCTACAGTCGAATTAGAGATTTTGATATGAAACTTTCAACTTTTATACTGAAAATCCCTGCTCAGAAATTCCACTGTGACAGTCTAAGTCTGAATGCAGAATTGTCTCTACACAACTAACTCTTTGTCTTTAGATCAAAGTAAGCGCGGAAATTTCAACAAATAATATGAAAATGATATTAAGGTGATTTTCTGATAATCAACAGCAGTTACGGAGTTTTACTTGTCTGTGATTATCATAAACAGCGAAATGAATGTATAAGATGATTTTTAGTTCAACAATACCGAGTTATTTGAGCGGTAACTGACCTTCAGTGGCATCAGTAGCTAAGTGATAACGTCTGTGACTGCAACACTGGGTGGTTCAGCTTCAAGCTTCACGTGGGATATCACTTCTGTCGATGTTGCAAATAGACCTTGCTGAAGAGTGCCAACAAGCGCGAAGCCTGGATTTAGGGCTACCTGTCCATAACCTCCAACCAAGTGATATACATGCAACTGCACATCCATGATGTGCCATCTAGTTGGTTGGTCACACTGAAAAATGGTTGATAGAATTTCGTCAACATTCAGGACTAGACAACATGAGATTGGTTGCTCTCCAGTGATCAAGCAATATATGCCTTTCGGATATGTCAATATGCTGCCTTACTTGTTCGCAGATATCGTTTTTCGCCGACCCCATTTCATTCCCCTTCATTTTGAAGGCTAGTTTTCGATAATAGTAAAAAATACATTCATGCTTAGTTCTCAACAGTGTTTTCATCGTGTTCCAATTATGAGTCATGACCTGCTCCAGGTGACGGTGAATAATGTGTGTAAACCATAGTTTGACGGAAGTTGTAAAAGACTGAATTTAACTAGAAAATTGACACTTAAAAGATTTGTATGAGACATGAGGAGGGTGCTTATGATTATGTAAGGGATGGCTCACTTACATCTCAGGAAAAAGCACCTTCACATAACTGTTTTTCCCTTAAAAACATGTCCACCAGCATCTTATTCATAACTTAGAAGTAACATTCAATGTTTTAACGTCCTGCTTTGCAATATATTGATGTACATTTGCAGCCCAGCTCAAGGATTCTGTGGTAGATCTTTGGCCCTCTAACATGAGTGTTCCCCGAGTTTAAATTTCTGATTTACTTGATAAGCAAATCTCCTTATTCATATCAGTCTGCTTGCTGGCATTTCTAAGTTTCCACAGTGCTATACTTGCAGTTAGTTGTTTTTCCTT